CATGGTGGCCTAGAGTCGCCATAGGGAAACTAACGTTTTCTTTTCACATATATTTGTGTGAAAACAAAATACGAGAAAAATAAATGTATTAATTTAATATGAAATGAAAAATAAAGTACAAATAAAAATAATAATAATAATAAATAATAATAAAAAATTAATAATAAAAATAATAATAAAAAAATAATATTTAATAACAAAATATAATATAAATGTAATATTTATAAAATTAAACTAATTTCAAAGCAAAATCAAAAGAAAATGTGATGAAATCAATAGTATATCAAAATTAATTTTAAAATAAAATTGTCAATTTACAATTTAACACTTTGTCGCTGGCCTATCGCTGCCATAGACCAGGATGCATTTCGAAGCTATGTAATACCACAATGCATTGGCATTGCAGGATAATAGAGTCAACATGGCGCTGGATATACAGTGTATCTATACATTATTGATAACCTTTTAGTCTTTTACTGCGTAATTAATCATGTCTGATTGGAGAAAATTCCAACAAAAGATGAAAGAAAAAAGACTTAGAAAGGGAACAAAAGATGCAGCGTCTTCAAAGAAAGAATTTGAGACGATTGTAGTGCAGCGGCTGAGTGCCGAAGTGACCGGTAAGGCTCAAAAGTATTCTGGTATTGGTGCCAGGGAGTGTGTGTCGTTCGAGGAATTCGGAGAGCTGACGATACAAAATATCAAAGATACCTGTATGAAGCATTTTGGTATAACTGATGGCGGAATGTACTGTGACGTTCTTGCCGGAGAACAAGGTCCAACTTGTACCTCCCTGAAACACCTACCAAGTTACAAAGTAATTCAGGAGCGATTTTTCGACGAAGAGGCAGTTGTGGAAGTATCTTCTGCTGAACGTTTCCCTGCTGCATTTGCCGAAGCTTCGTCGAAAAAGAGAAAACCACATCGAATAGGAAGTCCTCCAACAAATCACACGTCTGCCAAGATGGACTCTGGTGCAAGTCCTAGCAAGTTTGTACCAAGGAGCCTTTCTGTTTTGGATATGATAAGACTTGGGAAGGTCATAAGTAAGAAAACAACATCCGTGCAAATATATGCGTTTGATATAAAAGGTATGTCCTGGTCAGAAACTCCCACAGGTTTCGGAAAAGCTTTTAAATCCACCAGTCACCACAAGAGTTTTGAAGGCTCCACATGGGTAATAGAAGAAGTATTTACGGGCGGTAAAACTTGTGATAAAAAACATTTAAAATTTATAGTTGCTTTTTATGATCATTAATTCATTAGTATATAATTTGGCAAACCTTGTTTTATCTACAGTGTATCCCAAAAAAGTACCATCTATAGAAATTATCCTATTGTTGTTGAGCACAGGATTTCATGCGCCTTCAAATTAAAAATTCAATTCAATATTTGTGTTTACGCATTCTTGTGTTCAGCATAGTGCTCAGGCATTCAAATTATAACAATAGGATAGTTTGTGTATTGGGTACTTTTTGGGGGTTAGACTCTTAATTAAAATATCTTTCAAACCCCCCGCCATCATTCGAGAAAATATTTCAAGCACCTCCCCTCCCCCCTTTTGGAATCGACCACTACTGTATGTAACTCAACTGTTTGACAATAGTCATGCTTTATATATTGTTTTATAGAACAATATTATCAATATATAAAGCATGACTATTGTCAAACAGTTGAGTTGAGATTATTTTATAGAAAATATATAAAGATTCGCTCCCCCCTCATTACACGAAGTGGTTTTTCTGCCCCCCCCATGTTCCTGGTAATTATTTTGGAGCCCCTTTATTTTCCCTCCCCCTAGTCACCTCCCTCTCATCTATAATTGATAAACCATCCCTAAGCATTCGAAGAGCCACTAAGTTGAAATGCTAACAACCAATTCTTCTTTATTATTATTTACCAAGGTTATAGATGACATTGAAGCTCTTGGCCAAACAGTAGAAGAGCACACAAAAAAGTTGTGCAAATGCACTATTTAGCAAGGAAAGTTACAGCTAAAATGAAAGAAGAATTGATTGCAAATGGAAAAGAGGCCCAGTTTGGGAAAATTTTTCACTACAAGAAAATCTTCCTTGGCAAGATTGGTGAGGATGAGTACGTCACTGTAGAGGAGTTTGTAGATGGCTCGTTTGTGAAGTATATTAATAATACTGGAGATGTATGTGGAGAGAAAGTTGAGCTTTCTGATAAAGCTGAATGTCTTGTACACTTCACTTACGAATTATCTCAAAAGGAAGTTATGGTACTCAACATCCAAGGCTGTGGATGCTCTCTCTTCGACACCGAAATTGCTTCCAATCAAACAGTGTCTGAGGACGACTCAACATATTTGTTTTGCACAGTTAATTTGTCAATTACTGCGATAAACAATTTTATTGGCAAACATACATGCAACTTGTATTGCCAACTTTTTGACTTGCCTGAACTACCACAGTAACCTGTACAATCAGTATATATCGCGATTATGATACATTAATTCATATCATGTATTTATAGCTTTATGCCTGTAGATACAGATGAAACATTTATTTGTTTTTTTTTCATTTGAAACATTGTATTGTTGAATTAGAACTAAATGTACACGTTAAACTTAAATCCAATAGTACAAAATGTTACAGATTCCTACTTTTTGTATATTAACAATTAAAGAACTGTTTTGAAAATTATCCCTGTAAGACCCTATTGTTCTTTGTTGCGTGAATGTGATGCAAAATGACATACAACCTGTACTGCAACAGCCTAACCTGTTCACAGTTACACATTTAAATCTAC